TTCCCCCTATGTGCAACGTTATGTCTTTATTAAAATATACACGCACCTTGTAAAGTAAAAAAATCAGTGCAATTATTGCCTTATTATGTCCACTCAACGAGCAAGTGATCACTAGTTCTAAGGACATGCATGTCATTATACACTCAAGCGCAAACAATCTCTCCTTCTGCAGTTTCAGTGGAAGTTTCATCCACATTTAATAAGTTCCCACATAGACATTTTTTTATGACGTGTCACCATATTAAGAGAGAATAAATGAGTTTCATGGGGATGAAACTCTCCTGGCACAGTTACCAACTCGTAATGAGTCATGTAATTAAATGCCTATGAAACTATAGAATAAAACTATGCATTGAGAGTGGTTGCTTCATTCAAAGTTTTATTGCATTCTACTTGATGTGATATTCTTAGAAATAACATTATGAAACTCTCCACTGAGACTGGCCTTCTCCTGCCTAGAAAATTCTACGGGCAACAACTTTTCATAGCAGCCATTTTTTAAGAATCGCTATACAAGAACGCTCCTCCAATAAGACTACTCTTAAAGAATGTTTAGTTGCTAGTCGCACTTTACCACACTTTACTTAAGGTAAGTTTACACTTTACTTAGTCATACTTTACCTTAACTTAAGTTTGACTAGCAAGTTTGGCATATGTCCACTCTTAAAGGATGTAAGTTTGACTAAGTCGATAAATGCTTGGTTGGAAACTAAAGTCAGATTTTTTAGGCTCCATATGTCATATAGTAAAAAAGAGTGGTGAGATTCCTTTAAGCATAGCAAAATGTGGTTAGAATTAGTTGTGCCAAATTATGGCTGGAAAGCAAATAACCCTTGATCTCAAATACGTTGAGGTGCGTAAGTCTAGATATAGTGGAATATGCATAGAAATTTCAATGTGGATCTCGGAAAAAGTGTATACTGTAGGAAATAAAATCACCATAAACTTCAAAGGACAACCATACAAAAATGCTATTCAAAACAAGCATCTCCACTAGATCTAGTTCCACCTTTCCCTTAAAATCTAGTATAGCAGATTAAAAAAACCTGAATTAAAGTGTATAGAGGATATGTGCTCCAACCGTTTAGAAAATATCACCTCCTTTATACATAGGACCTACATGTGAGTGACAAAGAAATCTCTATTGGGCCTCTTCAAGGGGGAGTTAGCACATATTCCATATGAACTCCCCAACACATACATAATTTATCCATGTAACTTTTAATTACTTATTACATAACATAAGATTGGCCATGATGAAGCATTGAGTTGATGGCTAGTTCTCATAATGAATATAATTATATATCAATTTCGTGTTAGTAATTTATACCTATAATATATGTTAAAGAGAGCGAAGTAATTCTTTTGTCCCACTTTTTTACTTCTCAAACCACCCTCATGCCCTCCATATATGTTTCGTATAACTCATGATATGTGTTATCTGAGTTAGAACAACTCACGTCTAGCCATGATATAAAGTTTGATTTTTAAGATGTATTGGTTCCGTTGCAGATTTGGTGGTCTATCTATATAAAATTAGTGGAAGTAATAGATTCATTTTTTAACCTTTCCTTGTTACCCTCTCTGTATATTGTTCTCGGTGCATATATAAAAATTATATTAAAATTGAAAATCAGGCGATTGCTTGGTAACCTCTGTCACCTTTAGTCGGCAGCTTGACATATACTACTATTAAACTACTACTAAATGTAGTGCCAGTCCTAAGTTTCCGAGGGCCCTCTGGCGAACTCGTCGTGAGGGCCACTCTAAACTATATAGAAATCTTATAATATATATAAGTGCTATTTTTTTTACAAAACAAAAACAAATTCAGTGATATATTTTTAATTTAACATGTTTGATAATTATCGAGGAACAATGTAGACTAAAATTAATATGATTACCTTAAGAAAGAATAGAACTCTATAATATCCATTGCTTTTCATAAAAAGATAGTTTTTCGGGCATTTCTTGATGCAAAATCATCAAGGACGGTATTGAGATCAATAGTGTCCAAAATATCACTCTCGATGGTGCACATAGCCAATCTATTTAACCTTTCTTATGACATAGTTGATCTCAAATAGTTCTTCAACAACTTCAATTTTGAGAAACTTCTTTTAGCCGAAGCTACAGTCACAGGTACAGTTAAGATGATTCGATAGGCAACTGAAACATTTGGATAGCAATTGCAGCTACAACAAACTCCAGAATCTCAAGTGCTGAGGCTGACATCAAAGAAATAACTTGCCTACAAGATTTAACAAATAGTAAGTTTGAAACTTTTCCCAAATTATGGCATATTATATGAAAACAATGTATAATATAAATAATAGTTTACCTGCAAGATTTTCCCATATCACAAAGAGTAAGATTCTGGCTATGACATGCACACGACATGTATAGTGCTCTTCGATTAATTTCAAGCAAGCGCTTCTGAACACCTTGGTGAGGACCCTTCATATTTGAACCATTATCATAGCATTGTCCTCTCACATCATCAATATTCAAATCAAGAGAGGCCAATACATTCTTTAATTCATTAAAAAGACACAATCCTGATGTGTTATCTACCTTCAAGAACTCTAGGAAGAACTCCTCTACCCCTGGAACATTCCTCGACATATTGACACACCGAATAATTAGAGTAATTTATTCTTCATGGCTAACATCTGAAGTACAATCTAAAATCACAGAAAAATACTTGGCATCCTTGATGATCTTTAGTATAGTTTGTTTCACATAATTTGCAAGAAGAGAAATCATCTCATTCTGAATTTTATGCCCAAGATAATAATGATGAATCTCACTATTTTGAATTGCATCACGGGGTCAAATTCACCCATCACTTCAACTATGCCCAGAAAGTTACCATTGCTATCTTGATATAGTTTCTCATTTTTCCCTCGAAAAGCCAAATTATGTTTAGCAAGAAACTTGACAGCAGAAACAATTCTTACTAAAACTTGTCTTCAACGCTCTCTCTCCTTTGCAATTTCCTGTTGCAAATCATCATCAATTGTTTTATTTTTGCTCAACCTTAGCCTAAGTTCATTCCTAGTATTCATGTTTGTTATATGCTCAACACTATTCTCATGTTGCTTGAGTCTAAGACTAAGATGTTTCCGGTCCCTCAATCCATCATGTGCTAGCAAACTTTTGCTCTGACTTGATTTGAACAATTTACAGCAAAAACAAAAAACTTTGTCCACATGTTTAGAGTAAACCAACCATTTTCTATCAACCACCTCACCATTGGTTAACTTTCTAGAGCAGTAAGCATATGAAAAACGTCTATTAAGAGCATCTGCAGGGAACTCAAGATTCAATTCTCTCACCAGTCCCTTTTCAATCAATATATCTCTACCCTTATTATCAAGATTTCTTCAAGTTGAAGGATCAAAGACATCATGAATAGAAGCTTCTTGCACATCATTAATTGAATTTTCAGGTTGAGAGGAAGGCTGTAAATTTTCATTCTTTGTAGCATCATCAATGTCATCAACGTGTTCACTTAAATTATCGTTAACTTGTTGATGCCCTTGTTCTTCAATATTAGGTGCATCTACAAGATTATCATCAGGCACAACACTGCTTGAAGCTGAAAAAAACTTATGTATAACAAAAACTCTCCAGTCGGCAGTCGCACTGCGGTGGACGATTCGCAATTTCGCCTTCGGCCGGCGGTGCACGCGTGACTGTCCTGTCGTCCCGACTCCCGAGTGGCCGAGTCTGACCCTGGCCCAGGGCCTCTGACTCTGACCGTCTGGCCTAAAGGGCCTCTGACTCTGACCCTCTGTTCTCTCTGTCCATCTGTCGCACAGTGCAAAGGCCTAAAGGGCCTAAAGGTCCGGCCGGGGTCTCTACTCTCTCTTAGACTCTCCAGTCGGCAGTCGCACTGCGGCGGGCGATTCGCAATTTCGCCTTCGGCCGGCGGCGCACGCATGACTGTCCCATCCGAGTCTGACCCTCTGTTCGAGTGGTTGAGTGGCCTAGGGCCTCTGACTCTGACCGTCTGGCCTAAAGGGCCTCTGACTCTGACCCTCTGTTATCTCTGTCCGTCTGTCGCACAGTGCAAAGGCCTAAAGGGCTTAAAGGTCCGGCTGGGGTCTCTACTCTCTCTCAGACTCTCCAATCGGCAGTCGGCAGTCGCACTGCGGCGGGCGATTCGCAATTTCGCCTTCGGCCAGCAGCGCATGCGTGACTATCCCATCGTCTCGACTCCTGAGTGGCCGAGTCTGACCCTCTGTTCGAGTGGCCCAGGGCCTTTGACCCTGACCGTCTGGCCTAAAGGGCCTCTGACTCTGACCCTCTGTTCTCTGTGTCCGTCTGTCGCACAGCGCAAAGGCCTAAAGGGCCTAAAAGTCCGGCCGGGGTCTCTACTCTCTCTCAGTCTGTAGTGCGCAGTATCGCATAGTCTAAAGGCCCGTCGGTGCTATATACTACCTCGGGTCTTGAGCCTGGGCCCCTCCCTCCCTTGGGCCCTAGGCCATTGCACCCGGTGCACCCTTGCAGGGCCGGCACTGACTAAATGGACGTGAGAGCTAGTTTGAATCAATCATTCTCTCGTGGATTGGTGAGAGGATTAAGGGAGAAATTAAGTCATTTCTTCCTTAATCTCATTGAATCCTCGTGAGAAAATGGGGATTATCCAAACTAGCCCTAAATTTTTAAAGCTGTGTTGCCACAGGAATTGCTCATGCACATGCAAGTTGCAACTTGAAAATGCCGCGTACAGGGTAGTTGGCGAGGAATAACAAATGAGTCTTTCACCATACATCTAAAAGAACTTAAATTTTTAGGTTCATGTTTATTCGACAATACAAAAGTATTATTATGGAGAACAAACTTGTTTATATCACAAGATGACATACAAGTGAAACTTAGATATTCCTGGGAAACAGTTGATACCTGACCATGGTAATAACTGAAACACATGCATGTCACAGCAAGCATAATTAGGGAAAACTAACGAGAATATATAGTAAAATCGAAGGTATTCAAGGAATAATCTTGTAGGCCTTCATCTTGTCGATCCATGTGTTGAAGGACTTCAACGTGTCACGGAAGCCGAGGAATCCGTGCTCCTTGCTCTTGTTCATGCTGTCCAAAAGCTTCCAATTGGTGCCGTACCCATACACCACGACGACCATAAGCCACGAATCGGCAACGTCGTGGAGGTGTGTCTCCACGAGTTGGTTCTCCCTGACGATCTCTGCCCACACCGCCTCCTTCCCGGCCATGGCCTCCGACACCTTGAACTGCTTCTCCTCCCCGTCGTACCCAGTCCACTCCAGCCCGAAACGAGCCGCAAGCATCGGCCACAGCATCTTCCAGCTGTAGAGGTCTCCGTTGTTGCAGTTGAACGCCTGGTTCTTGGCCATGGGGTCCACGGCCGCCCAGATGTGCTGCTCAGCGATGAGGTCCGCGCCGGAGGCGTTGCTGAAGCTCTCCCAAGAGCCGAGGTACCCCGGCCAGCGCAGCGCGACCCCCTCCTTGCAGCAGATGGCGGCGTACACGCAGAGGCTGCGGACGACGTTGATGGCGCTCCGTGGGGAGAAGCCGAGGATGATGTTGTGGCGGTGCACGGACCAGCTCACGTCGCCGCCGCGCCGGGAGACCTCGGCGAAGAGGATGTCCTCTTGGTCGTAGTAGAAGTTGGGGCAGTCCCGGCGTGGCATGTCCTCGGCGTAGGGTGGGTCCGGGGTGGGCATCTTGCCGATGAACTCGAAGGGTCGTCCCAGGTAGTGTTTGGTGCCCGTCTGGAAGGAGACGTGGACGAGGAACGGTTTCCCGGCCGCCTCTAAACAAGCATCTCTATAAATTATTGATTTATAGATATGGTTCTTAAGTTATCCCTAGATATCGATTTATAAGGACGGCTAGTGTTATAGGCTGTTCCTATAAAAGAATTTGCAGGAGCGGCTGATAACACCAGCTGCCTCTATAATGTAGTTTTCATTTATAGGGACGGTTAGTATAGAACTAGCCCTACAGTCAATTTTTCGGCAAAAAAAATTAAAATTTAAAAATTCAAATCTGACCAGAATATGAATGAGTTCATAAGAACTATAATAATTTAGATTCCATCATTGCAAACCCATAATAATTCATAAGAACCATAATAATTTAAATTACTTCATTACAAACACATAATAATTTAAATTTGTTCATTACACACCATAATAATTCATTACAATCAACAGCAATTTAAATTTCTAGAACTTCCCAACGTCGTACCATGTACTCGGAGAAGTGCATATCGCTAATTTCATATGCCAAAATGTGAATGATGTAGCGCAATGTATTTACTAGTGCACTCTCCCTTGCTTGACAAGATCGTTCACAAGGTCTACTGACGACGATCAAATATGGTCGAGCCCCTTCCCTCCTAGTCACAAGAATTTTTTTTTCTGGATTTCCTCTGAAGTTTCCACAGGGCCACCATATTCCCAATTATAACGACCTAATTGATGCAGGGCCTGGTTTATAATGGCTTCAAAGCTACAACTTGCGTATGTAACATCAATCTCCTGAATCTGCAAGTGTTGAAAAAAAATATGGTTATCAGAACCATGCATATATATAGACATAACAATTAATATGGATATAAGTTATGAGACTGACCACATCATCTATGTTGTCCTCACCAAGCTATGCATAAAACAGTCCAATATCGTGGTGGAGGACCACATTCAAAGCTCCAATCCTCATGGAGGAGTATGCAGGAATATTGTACCAAATATTTTGAAGGGCCCTTAAAAATTCTTACACAACATATTTTTGCGCACTAATGTCGTGATAATCTGCGCGGCCCGTTCTCTTAGTGTATAAAACCATACCTTGTTGGTTACCCACCCTAGCGAGAATAGAAAAGCCAAGTCGACATTGCTTGAGTCCACCATCTATAGGGAATGTACCAACATTGATGTAATCAACCCTGAAATTTGAGATTCTCTCTGAACTATGGTATAGAACGAATTGTTTACATTTAAGAATTATATATATTAGAACAAAATATCTATAGAGGTGTCTTTAAAACATGTTACTTACTATGCTTGGATATGGGTGGTTTGCCCTCCTCAATGTTGGTCGAAAGCCCAGATCAAATGCATAATTATCTGGCAGATCCGACGAAGGAAGTTTGGCCATCTCTTCTCCTAAATTTATGTCAAGAAAAACAATTATAGTAGAGGAGGACAGGAGAGGAGAGGAGTAGGAGAAGTAGGAGCAGAGGACAGGAGAGGAGAAGACTAGAAGTAATAGGACTAGGAGAGGAGGGTCTACAAAGCAGCAGCTTCCTGCTAATGAAGAGTAGTAGTAGTAGGACAACAACAGTAGTATTAATAGTAGGACAACAACAGCAGTAGTATTAATAGGTGAAGTTGCATTACAACCAAAATATAGCTGTCAACATACAATTAGTGTTATCCAAACTAATAGGCCTCAGACACCATAATTAAATCATCATACAATTGTGTTATCCAACTACATCAACCATCTAATTATGTCATCACATGCCTAAGTATTGTAGTTGCATTGGTAGCTCATGGAAAGCCTCATCCAAAGTCCAAACACCATCATCAATAGACTGATAATCACCACATTCTTTCAAGAACCACTCTTACCACCCTAAGGGGTGATGCTTTCACCAGAATTAGCTGGGACCAGTTTAGGAGAGGAAGTTGCTGCTCCAACATAGGCATTAAAATCTCTAAGTGCATGGTCATAGTTGTTGTACTTCTTGTGTATATCATTTTTGAACCCAAGCACATGTTCACTAGCCTCATGCCAAGGCACGTAAATCCTAGGTTTCTTCCCATAGAAAACAACAAAGCAAGGGCCCATTTCCTATGAGTAGAATTGAAGAAAATAGCCATTAATCAGCAGTAGTAGTGGGAGAAGTAGTATTAGTAGTAGGTGAGATCACAAATTCAAATTCAAATTTCAATAGAGGCCTCAGAAATATGTCAATCATCATTTGATCATGAACTTGGAGCATAAAGGCATCATAAACATAGTGAGCATATATAAAAACAGTGAGCACATAGAAAAAGATAGTAGGGGCGGCTGATAATGATGCCAAGTTACTCACAAGATTCATGATCATCAGCTTATATTCTAGATAATTTCTAGAGTTGGACAATTTCATCATTCGCAAAAGAGAGGAGAGGAGAGTTGAAAAAAAATAGCTGCTGCTTCCCAAACATAGAGGAGAGGAAAAGGTGACCAAAAAAAGCAGTTGCCGGTTCTCAAACATAGATGATAGGAAAGGTGACCAAGAAAATCTTATATGCTCACTGTATTTATATATGCTAACTGTTTTTATATATGCAGGCAGTAGCTGCTGCCATATATCACAAAACTAGTAATAATAGTAGTAGTTGTAGAGGCCTTAGAAACATGTCAAACATCATTTGATCAATAACTTGGAGCATAAAGGCATCATAAACACAGTGAGCATATATAATCATAGTGAGCATATAGAAAACGACAGTAGGGGCGGCTGGTAATGATGCCAAGTTCCTCATAAGTTCATGATCATCAGTTTATATTCCAGATAATTTCTGGAGTTGGACAATTTCATCATAGGCCAAAGAGGGGAGATGAGATGAGAGTTTGTACAAAAAAAGCAGCTGCTGGTTCCCAAGAAAAATTAATAGCTGCTGCTAAACATAGAGGAGTAGAGGTAGTAGTAGTAGAGGAGAGGAGCGAAGGTCAAACAAAAAATAGTGAGCATATATAAAGACAGTAGGCATATATAAAAACACAGTGAGCATATATAAACACATGGTAGAAGTAGGAATAGTAGGAGAGGAGAGGAGAGTAGTAGTAGAAGTAGTAGAAGTAGTAGTAGGAGAGGAGAGGAGAGGAGAGGAGAGTAGTAGTAAAAGTAGGAGTAGAAGGAGAGGACAGGAGAGGAGAGTAATAGTAGAAGTAGTAGAAGTAGGAGTAGTAGAAGAAGAGAGGAGAGTAGTAGAAGTAGTAGAAGTAGTAGAAGTAAGAGAGGAGGCTATACAAAGCAGTTGCTGCCTGTCAAAACGAGCATATATAAACATAGTGAGCATATACATTCACAGTGGGCATATATAAAAACAGAGGGCATATATAATCACAGTGAGCATATATAAACACTGTGGGCATATATAAAAATAGTGGGCATATACAATCATAATGAGCATATATAAAAACAATGTGCATATATAAAAACAGTGAGCATATATAATCATAGTGAGCATATATAATCACAGTGAGCATATATAAAAGCACTGGGCATATATAAATACAGTGGGCATATATAAAAATAATGGGTATATATAAAAATAGTGAGCATGTATAATCATAGTGAGCATGTCTAAAAACAATGGCATATATAAAAACAGTGAGCATGTATAATCATAGTGAGCATGTCTAAAAATGGTATGCATATCAAAAGACAGTGAGCATGTCTAAAGACAGTGAGCATATATAAACACAGTGAGAAAATTTTTTAGTAGCCTAAAATCAAAATTAATTGTGTAGATCATGAGAATATATAATAAAAGCAAGCATTATGCCCTACCTTAAACACATGGATCCCAATAAAAATCATTCCTATCATCCAATGGCTATCAGCTCCATTTCACAAGGCTACCAGCACACACATTCACCAAATCCAAGCACTACATGAACTCAGTAGAGCAGGAATAGAGGAGAAGGGGTGGGGATACCTATAGAAGACCTAGCCAAAGAAAGGGGCGGTGGAGCGTGCGCACACCGATGGAGGCGCGCAGACGGCGGTGTGCATGAGCACCTCAAGGGCCGAGATGGAGCGGGTGGGTGGAGGTCGAGGTCGGAGATGGGGAGGCGGCGACGGACCGGATCTTGGATGTCGACGGCGCGGCCACAAACCCTAACTTGCCCCGTGGCCCTTCTTCCTACAGCGGGTGGGCGGAACTTGAGGTCGGAGATGGGGAGGCGGTGGTGGGTAGGCCGGCCGAGGAAAACCCTTGCTGCCGTGGAGATGGGGCGCGCGGCATCGTGGCTGCCCGAGGAGGTTGAGCTGTGGCCCAGGGGTGCGGAGAGGGGGCGTCGGCGTCAGCGTCGGGAGAAGTCCGGGAGGCGGCGGCGATGCACGGGGGAAAAATTTGGCAGCCTGACGGCGTCGTGGAGGAGAAGTGAACGCCCAATACTTAGAAAAATTTCAACCTTGTGCGCTGCTGCTTATATACCCAGGACAATTCGTAGGGTCGATTTACAATACCAGCCGTCCCTGATCCAGTCGCCCCTACAAATTTATTTCTATTAATATAAAATGTTAAATTTGTATATATTATATATGTGTTTTATATATAAAATTATTTGGATTACTCTATATATGTAAAAAATATATATATATATTAAAACAATTTGCTGATATGTATATATATAATTCTATTTTTCTTCTTTAAAAAATCATATTTAAAAATTTGAAAAATTGAATTTTAAATTTTCAATAGAATTTTAGGACACTAAATGACCTCAAATAAAAAGGTTATAAATATGAAAGTTGTATAACTCATCAATATGTACAACTTTTATTTTGGTCATCTATTCATATGACTAAGTTTTGAGAATTCAAATTTTGAATTTTAAAAAATTACATTTTCAAACTATATTTTGAAATACCAAATGATTTAAAATGTCATGAATACCAAAGTTGTATAACTCATCAAGATCTACAACTTTTATTTTG